CGTTATACAAAGGTACGCACTATACTCCGAAAAATACGGTACAGTGTGTAATGTGCATGTACATGTACAAGCAAAACTTCCATGGTCCCTCCTCTATGATCTATTATTGAGCCCATTCTGAGGTACAGAGTGCAGGAGTTGCCTTGAAGGCGAAGAAGACTCGGCGCCAGGGTCTGCTGTGTTCGGCGCTGGACTGGTGCATGCAAGAACAAACGATTCGTGAAGAAACGAGTATGTTCTCTGTCGTCAGGCGAAGAGGCGAGGATAAGTATAAGATATACGACGCGTACACCCAGTTTCGGGCCGAGTCGGAGACTCGGAGTTAAATATACTTGCCGTCTCGGCCCCGCATGGGTTATGCGTGAGTTTCAGCATCCTCTTCTGATTGGAGAAATACCCTGCTTTCTCGGTAATTGCTGGTGATTCCTCCCTGTTAGTTCCAGCTTGAAAGGTATGTAGCAATGGTGACGAGTTGAACTCTCTTTGACGTCCAACTACTTGTACTAAAGTTACAGTAGTTTGGACAACATGGCCGTACCATTCGCGGGCTCCGCAATGTGTTTTTGCAGAGAGGATCAACCCAGGCCACATTGTGCATTGCATGTTTCTAGTTGCACATTCCAAAAGTACCTGCCGCTCAGACGCCCAGGATTCCCAGGGAATCTTGTCCCAGCCAGACTGTGACCCTAGCTAGCAGGTCACTGTGGCAGTCATCCTCGCGCAACGTTGACAAAGCAGCTTTCCTCACTCCAACTAAAAAATACAACAACCAGGTTGTCGCCATTAGCCTGATTAGGCCATTAGCCTGTACTGTAGTGAGTCTGTGCATGACTGTGGCGATAACCCAACTGTACTGCGGATAAGTACTACTACTAGTACTACTAGTAGTTAGGCATTGGCATGCATGATTCGGCTGATCATGCATGATGTACATGTACATGTCCATTAACCTGTGCCAAAACTCCTGATCACGTGACAAAGCCGCTCACTCCTACAACTTACTAGTACTACTTGCATGTCATGTACATGTACATGTACATCACAAGTACAAGTACTGTGGTTCACGCCTCTCGTGTTCGCAACCAATGGCAATGGCATGGTCGGCAAGGAATGCTCTATCTTCCTAAAAAGGCCTTGGTGTGCCAGATCAAGGAGAAGAATGCTGATTTAGCATAATTATTCTGTTGCTGTCAGCTACATGTATTTGCGATGCCGCCTTTCATTTTGTTTCCTTCGGTGGTGCATCACCTGCCTGCGTGTCTCTCGGTCATCATACCGGTCACGGCGATACAGCTTTGTGAATGATTGCCGAATGATCTCTAGTCTAGAGCATGAGGTGATCCTTCTTGCTGTGGTCTGTGCACAACTGGTTTGCTGTTATACGACCATGCTGTCTTGTTGTACGTCCGTAAAGCTTTAATGTAACTACCCTTGCTGGTCAGACGGATCAATGACATTGTATTCTGCTTGCTCTTTCCTTTACGTTGGTGTTCTTTCTCAATATTGCTTACACAACCTATTTCTTTTAGCCACAAGAGGCTTTAGTACTACTATAGCAGTCATACTCGCACTCACAACCGCACTACCGTGAGTGAACATAACTGTACATGTACATGTACATGTACATATGTATGTAGCTAGTCCATGAAGTGTGTGAGTGTGAGTGTGTAAGTGTGTGAGTGTGTTACTGGTAGCAAGAGTACATCAACGCCTTTTGTAAGCGGAGTGGAGCTAGAACTTAGAAGCGAAGCCAGGATTAGAGATGGATCGAGTGGGGGATGCCATCATGGAGTTAGAGATCTGACTAAAACCGCTTACATTGGCCAATGCCGCCATATTGCATCAAGGCAAGGTGGTCGCCCCTATCAAGGGGTTCCCCGCGTTGAAGAATGAACGTGGTGCAGAGGCGGCGGGAGGGGGGGGGGGGGCTCACAGGCAGATATGGACTGCAGGTCGCTGAGCACTTCCGCTTCAGCGGCCTCCTGCGCTGTTGCCTCTTAGATCCTGTGTGCGGTTTTCATGTTGGATAGAACGAGGCTGGCACATACTGACAATAAATGAGGCGAATGTGCATGTACATGTACAGTACATGTACATGTACATGTAGGGCGGTGTACATGTAGATCATGGTAGATGGTTATTGCGAGCAGGTTGGGGTGTGGGTTGGTGCTAGAGGTAAGCGGATTATGCTCGGAAAATGACCCGATTATGCTCTAGCTGATGCTCGCAGGATGCTCGAGAAAACAGCCAATTATGCTTTTATGTGCTTCACCAAAAGGACCAAAAGAACAGACAGTCGTCATGAAAAAAGGACTCAGATCGACCATTGTCATGATGTGAACTGGGAGCTTTGTGGAAGTACAAGACAATAATTATGCAAGAGGAATACCAAATTCACAAGCAAACGCTGAACTTTTGGGAGATGCCCTATAGTGGCTGCTAAAATATTGTTCCACATCGACAAGGAGCGCTATGATGTATGGTCCTTCAATAGCAGGTGTGTACATGTATATACTATATAACAGCCTCATTGTGCATCTGCCCTTGTTTTTCGGATGCCATTTTATGCTCCTTCTCAACAAGGACCTGAATTACGCCAAAAATGATGCCGGCATCATCCGCCCACTCCTAGTTGGTGCGTGGTCGCGCGTGGTTTCGGAAGTAACACCAGGAGAATATTTTAGCACTTGTACTTGTAGCCTAGTAATGCAGGCGTCGCACAGCGCAAGATCAAGAAAGGGAGCTTATCTTCAGTTTTTACCTTTGGACTGCTGAAGTATCCGTAAAGCGTAGGTGTTTGACTTAAACCAACACTTGACTGTTGATCCGTTTGTGTGACGTTGTTACTGTTAGCGCATGCACTTCCACTATAACGATTACTGGTACATGTACATGTACCTATCATCATGGCCAGTTATTCCAAATCATTATAATAGTCATCACATTTACCGATAGTTGACCCCTTCCCCAGCCCTGGAGACGACACTGCATTACCCGCTGTACATGAATGTATTTTCCCAGTAGTCACTAGTGCGACAATAATTATTATAATAATTATAATGAAACAAGCACTCTCTTGTCAAGAAAGACTTACAATGCATTAATCTGTCGCTTCTGGATGCTGTGCAATCTGCTTCTGATAGAGCTGCTTGGCTCGAAATTGTTAACAGATGCGTTGACCTCATGCAATGAGTGAAATGCGAACTGTCATTATTATTTATTAAGCACTCTCTTGGACAGCCTGGAACCTCTCTGTTTTAATAATTATAATGATCTGATGTAGATGTACAAGTACATGGCAAACCGTGCACTTGAGTCACCTTAATCCTAGGCGACGGTTAGGTGATCATGCAAGAAAGTCTTGTACACAGTCTCCCTCGATAATAGCTCTTACTGGCTGCACTTTTCCGAGGCTGCTTCTATTTTCCAGTGCTCTATGCAGTCACAGTATAGCTAGCGAGTGTCAATGGCGCAAATCATCCTTCCCTATACTATACGCGGTATTGTAAGTAGTTGTTGTAGAAGTTTATTTAACGTCGCACCACAAACAGGCGATTTCAAGTAAGTCGGACGCAAAGAACATCTTTTCGGACGGAGCAGCTTGGAGAGTGGAGTGCTTTTTTTTACTCCCGTGCATGCATGGCGCACATGCTATGCAAGCTCCCACATAACTCATTGACATTGTATCCAAACAATAAGAGGACGGAAAAATTACTGTTTTTTGATGATCACTTAGTGCATGAAACAAAACGCTTTTTCCGTCCTCTTGTTGTTTGAACTAGCTCTGCCTCTCCGTATTGAGCACTCTCATGGACAGCCTGGAACCTCTCTGTTTTAACTCATTGTATCCTATACAGTAATTATATTATCTAATATACAGTCAACTTCGCTAATAACGACTGCGGATATAACGACAATTCGCGAATAACGACAGAATTTCCATGCCCAGAGCAAAGTCCCATCCCACTGTAATACATAATGATGAGACTTCGGGTATAACGACACTTCGCGAATAAGGACACCTTTTTGATGCCCCGCCGAGTGTCGTTATAACTTATAAGCGAAGTAACTAGTTGACTGCACTCTCAGTCTGTAGGCCTACACCGGCCTTCTAATGTGCGGAATGGTATGTGCCCAATACACCACTATTATATTGGCACTAACGTGGTCATGGTGGTAGCCAGTTGCCCTGGCTACCTAGGTACTAGCGGCTACAGAATGATCAAGTTGTAGAGTAGCAAAGGCTGATAAGAATAATCCCATGCATCGCATGGTGTGCAACGCGGACACAGGTTATCATGCGGCATGGCTCACACTGATTCTCAGCTCGCACTGAGAGAGCACAAAGCCCCGTGTGCGTGTAGCAATCAGCCTGCAAATCACCTGAACCGCGGAGCTGACAAGAGTCACCAGACAGACATCTACGCACAGCCGCACACTCAAGTGCGTGAACACTTTGTTTACCTCTCAGTTCGATCGTGGTTTTAAGCGCTTATTGGATGATCCAGTTTGGTTTGAACGATATCGTGCAATTATTTTGTTTGACAACGTTGGCAACGTTTAGTCTCTCACCAGCTACATTGTACATGTACATGTACATGTATATATTGCCCTGGTTCATTCAGCATACGTTTTTCTTCTTTTCTCTTTATGTTGACCACTCATCCCCTTTTTTCTAAACATTTACACTGATGTACACTTGTACATTGTTTATTTGTTTATTTATTTTATTTTTTTATTGTTAAGAAAGGGTTTGCTCCCCACACCGGAGCTCGCGCTATTCCGCCGGTGTGGGGAGCAAACCCTTTCTTACAAATCATCGCCGAAGTCGCAACCACTACTTCGTTTTTTTATTATTATAATTTTTTTTGGTCCCATCGGCCTCTTCATATTTGTGCAGCTGCACTGTATTGTTTAGCTTCCGACGTAAAACAAATAATAATAATAATAACACACACACACACAGAAGGCAATGAATAATTTCAAAGGAAAACCAGCTTTGCTGGATATGCATGTCGCTGTATATCAGTAGTCTCAAACTGCAAATATTTGCAGGAATAAGTTATTTGAAATTGCACTCGAAAACACCACATGCTCATGGATCACTCTGCACACACACACACACACACACACACACACACACACACACACACACACACACACACACACACACACACACACACACTCACAGCAGTTACACATAAGAGAATGTATCGTTAAAAATGAAGAAGATAAAGAAACGTTTGCCAGGCTAAAACTGAAGTAAAGTTTGCTGTGTGTAAATGTAAATTCATCACTGAAAAAAGGGATGGGCATATTGAAAGCTAGCGGACTAACGATTGATCAAAAAAAAACTGTCAGGAGAGAAAGACGGGGCCTGGAGAAGCCTCAACAATGGTTAGAAAAGAATGTTCTCTTGCAATCTCTCTTTGCGGCGGATGCGGAAAACTCGGCTTCCAGCCGAGTCTCACGCGAACCGTGAAATTTTTTAAAATCTCTCTTTGGTGTGCATAAGCAAAGCTGATGGTTTGTTTGAACACAGCACGAGTCAAAATCTAAGGTTTCCAATCTCAACAGAAATAATCGGATAAACCATCTACTTTGTGTGTACGGCGAGAAGGGTGGATGAAACAAAAATTTGCCTGGCCATAGCTTGGCATGGAAAAGGGAAGAAAAAAGACAGCATTTCGCTAAAAGATTATCAATGGCCTATGGTGCATACATACAAGTCACATACCCTCCATAATACATCACACGCTTGCGTGTGTGTGTGTGTGTGTATGTATGCGTGTGTGTGTGTATGCGTGTGTGTATGCGTGTGTGTATGTGTGTGTGTATGCGTGTATGTGCAAACATGCTGGTTTCAAGCCAATAACGAAGGTGCATAGTTCCAGGGCCTAAAAAACAAGAGTGCCCTCCTACTGCCAAATAATCTTGCATAGCCGAGTGATCAGAAATACTCTCCTATGCATGGTGAACAAATCGGCTCAACCATATCATTGCCATCAACCCTATTGTATGAAAACAGTCTATTATCATAGATCTAGGTCTGGGTGGAACTCCTCTGGGCACTCACAGTGTACTGTTTCCTCGAGATCGGCGAGCTGCATCAGCTGGGGAACATCATCACCTTGGCTTATCCCATACCAGCTGGTCTGATCAAAGCTGAATCCCAGCGGTGGCTTGGAGCATGCCTGCACAGATATCACAAGCATTCAGGAGTCAACAACAGCGCATACCAGTTATAACAGGAAACTTCAAGTGCTGTCAGGTGGTGACCTGATGATGGGCTCTTCCGATGCTCTCTCTCTCTCTATCTCTCTCTCTCTCTCTCTCTCTCTCTCTCTCTCTCTCTCTCTCTCTCTCTCTCTCTCTCTCTCTGTGTGTGTGTGTGTGTGTGTGTGTGTGTGTGTGTGTGTGTGTGTGTGTGTGTGTGTGTGTGTGTGTGTGTGTGTGTGTGTCTCTCTCTCTCTCTATGTCTCTGTCTCTGCCTCTCTGTCCCTGTCTCTCTCTCTCTCATAGAATTTTAAGTTGATTCAAAGCGTTGGTGCCAAGGACTTGCCAGGTTTCAGGTGAACAGCATTCACACCACACACAGTGCATACTCTAGTACCTTCGAGGTGTAATCTAAATTGTAGTTTCTCAACCGAAATCACCGAAGTTAGAGTTCCACCGAAAATGACGTGTTTTACAGTATTCAGAATAGCTGTTTCTTGGTGTTATTGGGAGCGAGAGTTCAGAAAGAAGCGATCAAGAAGAGAAAGGGTAATGCATATAAACTAGGGGTGAAACGAGTATCTATTTTGACCAATCGATCACTCATTCATAATATTCGATCGAGTATCCGATTATCGCTATTTTATCAAAATTCAATAGCGCTAGATTTGTGAGTTCTCGACCAATCCGGGAGAAATGGTCTGTGAACATAGAACAAAAGTCGCCAACGTCTTGTACAGAGTGTAAAGTAACGATTTTCATCTGTGCTTTCATTATCTCATAACAAACTAACTTAACTTGCCGTGGTGATCGCATCGTCCAAGTCATAAAAACTGACTCGAAGGCATACATAACACATGCATACCAGTGGATGAGCGGTCCAACAGAAGTTTTTTGAAAATTAGAATGCCAATACTAAAAAAAACAAAAAAAAACAAAAAAAAAACGATCGAGTGCAAAATTTCGAATACTCGCTCGTTTGAAAATTTCCAACGAATACTCGAATATTCGAACTAATCGTTTCACCCCTAATATAAACACATGTGTGCAGTAGTGACCCGCACGCAGCGCAATGCCAAAAGGGTGTTCATACCTTGTGGAGGTCAATTGGGCAACATAACTCCCCAGGAGAAAATCCATCCTCTCCCGAAGATGGGGAAAGGAGGAAAGAAAAACCGCCCATAACTAGGAATTATCGGGAACTTTGAATCACGTATGGTTCGGTGGGGAATTGCCAGAGATCTGGCATATGACATCAATATTTCCACAAATTGGCAAAAGAGTAGTAACATTTCCACTACAACTTGCCTTGAGGATGCCCGTAACTACGTCGAGGTCTGGGTAAGAGAGACAGGAGTCAGAGTGTGTACAACAACTTACCGGTAGCAGATCGCTGGCAGTAGGACTAGCAGAGCCCAGTCTGGACTGGGTGTCTCCGATAATGCTGCACTGGTCAGCAACCACAGGCATGTCCGGCGTTAGCTGTCCACCCACAAACGGAACGCTGATTGCCGGTCCGGGGCAAGGCACTTCGTCGCGAAACAGGGGCTCAAAGTCGCACTGCCCGTGGTCTATGAGGTCGGTGGGCATCTCGGCAGTGGAGATGTCACGGGTCCATTCACGGAACTCATTCAGCCAGTCCTCCGCAGCACTGGCATTGCTGTCGCCGTCCAGCATATCCGCATGATGCATTGTGACTTGTAGTGGTGAGTCTATGTCCTCTTCGGGAGATGGCTGTGCAGTTAGTAGACCGAGCATGTCCGAGCTGCTCTCGTCCAGTAGTGCACTGCTCAAGGAACTGCTGTCTGCGGTGGCGTCATCAACAATGCCAGTAGTGCCAGCTTGTGGACTCGCCTGGGCAGAGTCTGCCGGACTAGCAAGTGCTTGCTGCTTTGTACACTTCGTAATGCCTCTGCTCAGATCTACCATCTTTTGCTTCCTTGAGATGTCTAGAACAACCTTCTGCGACGCCGGTCTATCAGCTGTGTGCATCCGGCGGATGTAGCTACACGTGGCACGGAGAACTTCAACAGTCGACAGACCGTGTTTTCTCTCGCCGGGAATTGAGCTTTGACTGATGCGCTTCAGCTCTGGCACCAGTGTAGACAGCTCAGTCAGCAGCTTTCGCCGCTCGCGAACACGCGCGCGTTCACGATTGGCGTGGTCGACCTTCTTCTGCGTTGGTGATTTGGCTGCTCGCCATCGGTATCTTGGGTTTCCGCCATGTTTCTTACTGCTGTTGCCATGGTGAGGGCTATTGTCACCATACACATCCCTATTGAGCCACTGTCCTAAGCTTGTTTCAGGGCAACGGGATATGATGGATTCGGCCTCCTCGCAATGCTGCAGTTGCTGCTGCTGCTGCTGCTGGTGGTGTGGTGGTGATTGCTGCGGCTGCAGTTGACTCTCGACAAGTTCAGGAATGGGCAGGACGGCTGGATGAACTTCACCAACATCTAGAACTTCGTAGTCAAAAAGCTCCTGTTTGATCTGTTTGATAAGAAGAGAACTCTCGTCAACGGGTTCCGGGGAGCTGTTGTTCAGGGTTCTGGGTTCCGAAGCTGCTGAGGAAGAAGATCCAAGCATCACATTTAGATCGACTTCATTGCCCGTCTTGTCGAGGGAACTGGCGCTCAGAGACGCCTCTTCGCCTTCCACGCACTCGCTGGATGTGACTGTCGCTGACACGGCGGATTGGAAAGCCGAAGCAAAGGAGAAGGCCGAAAGATTTGGCCTGAGGGGAGGGTGTGTCAGGGTAGAAAGTTTCTGAGCCAGCCGTTGTTCATTCAGGGCTGATAACATCAACTCGCCTCGCCGCGCAACATCATTTTTCGGCTTCTTCGGCTTTCTACACGCTTGACCTCGATGTGTACTCGCATCCTGGGTACATCCAGTAAATGCCGACTCGGACCCGACGATGTGAGGCGATGAGAATGCCTTCGGACGAATGGGGGCAACTCGGTTTGCCGGATCACTACCAGGATTCTTCTTGATCGAGGTCCATTGGTAGTCGGAACCCAACTGCTTGTACGAGGAGACAAGTATATTCGCCATTGCCCGGCGCTTCCTGTTTGTGATGGAGGGAGGTTGGAAATAGGCACAGCCAAGAAGGAATCACTCAACAGCACACTGACTGCTAGTGACAAGAGACAGAGAATCAAAAAGGCAAACCAACGTCTTCCTAAATGAAGAAAGAAGCAGAGGAGGAACTGAAAGTCACCCTCTACGTTGCCCAACAACAACAACAACAACAACAACAATAATTGTTGTTGTGCTTTGTGCTTTTGTGGCCAACCATGTGCTCGAGAAGTCAACAGCTTTTCCGTCTCTTTTTCGAATTCAAACGTCGTTGTCAAGACAATTTCATCAAGCTTTGGGGCTGAGCCTCAGTAGTGAGCGCCGGCGTCAGATTCACGAGAAGATTATCATAGTCATGGGATGCCGGGATCGGGAACACATCATAGATAGCAGTTGAAAGCAAGCCAAATCAACCTCTGGACTTTGACCTGTAGTCTGTACTGCTGGCCGTAGCGGGCCCCTTTTCTACACATTGTAGTGTAGGCTTACGAAGTTACGTGCAGAAGCCTAGTTTTGGAGTGTTGTGCTCGCTGGTGTTTGTCAACACAGCTCGATCCAAAAGCAAGCATGGTGACCAGTTTAGCCTTTACAATTTGTTGTGGTTTAATATTTAGCCTGGCCTGCTGGGGAGATGATCAGTCAACATAGCTGCTAACTACGTAACACGTTGAGGTTGAAATCTACAGCTAACACAGTGCCAGGTAAAGCAGAGAGTGTGTCCCTACCTACCTTACAGCAAGAGTGCATGTACATGAAAACCCTATTTTCATGTACTCTTGCTTACAGTAACTGTTACAGTTATACTGTGTAGTGCTACGCGTAAGACAGCCTTCGTGGCTTTGACCTCAATGCTCCTCACAAATGTCGTTCGTCTCCTCTGGCCTACAAAAGCTATAATATAGCACCAAGGGTATACCAGTGGTCAAGGGTGTGCAGCTATAGTCATGATAGTTTGTAGGGTGGAGTTAGGAAGACGAAACAGCACTGATACGAAGAACAAAGCATGCCAATGACATGAAGTGCTGCTTTTCAGCCGCAATGCGAGAGGGTCAGCTGAAACGACTGCGAACCGCGCAAAACAGAGCCATCCGCTGTATCGACGGCAACCCGCCCCGGACAGCCATGCAGCCGCGGGCGCTGCTCACTGCTCACTCCCTGTACCGTGTCAGCGAGCTATACAAGTCATGCAGAAAATATTGATCACCATTACTTAGGGCCCGGTCACACATGCACTGGGATTCGCTTCGGCGACGAGGTTCGGCGGCAGCGAGCCTGGTGTCGCTCCAGCGAAACCACGTGTGTGTGGTCACACATACAAACAGGGCACAACTCCTATTTTGGCGGAAATGAGACTGTGGTGCATACGGTACGGAGAATAGACGCGAGACGAGGTCAATGACTATCTTGCACGCATTTTTGTTGCATGGACATCATACGCATACAAATTTCTCGTAGCAAGTCCATATACAGCAGACCATGGTGTTTTCCGCTGAAGCGAATCCGCAGAAGCGACAGTCTCGCTTCGAAAATTTTGGAGGAAGCGGATTGGAGTTTCCGCTGAAGCGGAAGTTCCGCTTTTCGCCGTTGCCATGCCATTTTTCGCTCCTGCGACCTCGCTTCAGCGTATACGCTACTTTCGAGTGCATGTGTGACCGGGCCCTGATGGCGGTGCATCCACGCGTAGATCGATCTACGCCCGCACTAGCCCAGTGCTCGCCCAGCTTCTGACCCCGGCGCAAGGCACCCCTGCCCGCCATCAGCAGTCAAATGGCCTACTAAGCCAGGCAAACCGTAGCCGCCGCGGTCAGCGGAGATTTTCTGTTGCTGCAATGCTGGTGCTCTGCTGTGGAACGCTCTCCCTGCTGTGGAACGCTCTCCCTGGTGAGGTCCGCACAATTACCCGGCTACCTGAGTTTAAGCATGCATGTGTACCATACGCCTGTAGGGAGTAGCTCGAGTTGCTGCTCTGCTCTGCTCTGCTCTCCCTTCCCGTGCAGTTCAGTAATCCTCACGTAGTATCACAGATAGTAGGGAGGTTTAGTCCCACGTAATCCGTGGGTACTTTACGTGGGTGTACCACGTGATACTCAGTGACCCACGTACAGACGTTTTCTGATTCACGACATACCGTGTATGGAGGCTCACCCACGCTCCGCCAGAACGTGGGTGAAAATCAGAATGGAGCGCATTGTGCGAGCTGTGAGGGTGCTCAGCTGAAGAAGTTTCCGAAGCACGAAATCAAAATATTGGATGAGCTTCTTAGGCCGGGGTAGCTTCGTCTTTGACCAGGTTTTGGCCTTTAGCTTCATGGTTTTGTTTGTTCCGTGTGACTAAACACAACATTGCAACGCGGGTGCCCTTCATCCACTTTACGTGGATCACCCACGTACGCGTTTCCGTTACGTGGGAACTAAACCTCCCTATTATCACAGGTACATCGTATTCGCCCTCTCCCCCCCCCCCCCCCGTTTACCCGCAGTTATTAGTATCCTATTCTCTTACTATGTGCTTCCATAGCCTTTACTATGTTCTTCCATAGCCAATTCTAGGCTAAGCCTTCGTCGTCATTTTATTGGGTCGTCATCCCGTTTGAATGTGCGAAGTGAAATAAAACCACACACACGCGCGCACACACACACACACACACACACACACACACACACACACACACACACACACACCGCGCATGCACACACCCATGTATGAACCCCATAGAAAGGGTACCAGGAGTTGCACACTCTTCCAGTGGGATCTTATTATACATGTACTCTTGGTAATGGCAAGAGTAGCTGGGGGGGGGGGGGGGGGAGGGGGGGGGGAGTATACTCTTGGTAATAATATAAAATAATAATCTTTATTTCAGGATTACCCAAAGGCTAACGCCTATCTGGGGGATCTCCTATTTGTGTAGTATGTACTAGTAACATAGTTAAGGATGCGAGAGAAAGTGCGCAAAGTGAGTGTGAAATGTTGGTTTCAAAAAGGAATAATAAGAAACACAAGGAAAGAAAGTAAGACAGAAAAGAAAAGAACAAGCATGTAAATCAATGATTGCACATCAAAGGTGTACCAGTGCAGTCGAACTGATACTTAGCAATGTGAATACGTAAATGACGCTTGAATTCAGATGGAATCTAAAGTTGTCAATCGGGGTGGAAGACAATTCCAAAGAGAACCAGTTTTCTGTAGGAAAAGGGATGAAAAAATACGACCATGTGAGTTAAAAACGAGCTTTTGGGCCTACGGGCACTACGTGATAATTATGGTTATCGCAAAGCGAGAGAGATATTCTGGGTGGAAATTGATGTACTTAAATAAAACAACAAGAGAAATAAAGATACGGCGAAATTGCAGAGATTCTAAGTGACACAATCTATTCAAATTGGATTTTGATTCATAGATATCAAAGGTTATTTTTGCAGACTTCAGGAGTCGCCGGCAAACCTTAGCCTGGAGTACATCAAGGGACTCTAACTGAGCGGATGTGATCCTAAATGACCAGACAGGAATGGCATATTCAATTGCCGGACGCACATAAGACTTATACAAGAGGAGAATATGGGACGATGGTAAATGTCTGCCCATGAAACACAACAGGTTGACTCGTTGCTGAAACTTCCTGAAGATGGTGTGGAAGTGGTCATGGAACTTCAAACCATCACTGAGCTGTACGCCGAGATGCTTAGCAGAACGTCCAAAGGCAATAGGAACGCCGTCCATTAAAACAGAGGAGGAGTCAGGAATGTCATGATTCGAAAAGATGAAAGTTTTTTCTGGAGAAAATTTCCCATGGATATTCTGAGCCCAATTCTGGCAGCTGGCCAGATCCTGCTGGAGGTGGGACATGTTCTCATCTAAGGAGAGGGATACAAGTCATTATGAGCATTTAGAAGAGTGACATCATCAGCAAAGAGAAAGGGTGGGGTGTGGTTTACTATGTCAGGAAGGGAATTGATATACAAAAGAAAAAGGGGAGGGGCAAGGTACGAACCCTGGGGAACACCACAATTTAGCATATATTGAGAAGAGTGAGTTCCATCCAGCTTCACATTTAGACTACGGTCAAGCAAGTATGACCCAAACCAGGCGTGTGCCTCTGGTGCCATGAATGCATTCATGTGGCGCAGGAGCGTAGGATGATGTACACGGTAATGGCAAGAGTAGCCGGGAGGAGAGGGGGGGGGGGGTATACTCTTGGTAACGGTGTACACCTACATGTAGCTGCGCAAACGGTCGGTCCACAGACTCCACACGTAGAATCACCAGGTCCGGGGTGGATCAACGGTATTTTACTTTACGGTAGTTGTCCGTCACAGCTACAGTGATCGATACTGATCAACGGACGGTGGTTGCACGCATCCTGAACCTGACGGTTAGGGTCCAGCGTAGCCCTTGGCGGATTATGCCGGCATAATATTTGGCATAATCTTGGGATTTCGTCAAAAAAATATGCTCCGGCATAATATACGGATTCCAACGTGTAAGGTCGGCATAATCAGGGAGTCGTCAAATATGGTATTTGACGACTCCCTGGGCATAATCTTTCGGTTTAGACAAAAATTATGCTTATGGGCATAATACAGCTTTGTCAGAAAGCCTGCAGCGCAGATGTTTTTGTTTTTTTGTTTTTTTGAATACCCCAGTTACGACTCCTTGTCATAGACTCATAGCCCTTGGCGGATTATGCCGGCATAATCTTTGGATTTCGGCAAAAAATTATGCTCCGGCATAATAATTATACGGATTCCAACGTGTAAACCAAACTTTGCCGCAGTCTGACCAGGCCCTTGGTCGGCATAATCTTTCGGTTTAGACAAAAATTATGCTTATGGCATGGCCGTGTGTGTAAGTATGCGTGGTTTCTCAATCCTCTATGTACAGCGTGAATACATAGTGGAACCGAGCATAATTCAGCATATTTGTTGGCATAATTGTGGCATAATTGTGGCATAATTAATTTTGACGATTGGCCGAGCATAGTCCGCCAATGGCTAGTCCAGCGGATAATGCCGGCATTATATTCGGCATTATACGACTATCCGAGCATCAGAGCATTATATGGAGCATTAGAAAGGAACAAAACGAGCATTATGTGAGATTTGAGCGGCATAACGAGTTCCATAGTGGATGATATCGGGAAATCTCAGGTTTTTGGCAACAATCGGCTACAATCATGATCATGAGATGTTGTCTGATGATTGGTTTTTGCCATGAAACTCTGAGTAACAACGAAACAGCCCTATTTTACTCCTTTTGTGTACCTCTTGCTCCGCCCATTCCGGGCATTTAATTTTTTAGCACTATGCATTGTACCGGCGCAATATTTTGTGATTGTGTAGACACGTAAACACCCTATACTAGCACTAACGCTACATAGCTATTGCTACATAAAAACGTTATGATTGTCGCGATGTGGTCAGGTAAATGACTGTACATGATTGTATAGTATTGTATACGCCATTTGTGAAGCATGTATGCCCAACCGAGGCCGAGGCAGCTCAAGTGACACAAATCCGGAGAAATTATTTACGAGGTTTCTTTTACTTTTAGAATAATGGGGAGTTATGGAGGAGACAGACGCGAAGTGAATATCGAACAGACGAAGAAGAGTTTTCTAGTTGTGCCAGAGGCTCTGGCGATAGCATCTCTAGCGATACTGAAGTAGACACTGATGCATTGCTAAATTTGGACCAGGATGAAGGAGCGGCTATAAACAGAAAGAGCTCGTTCCAAAAGAACTGCATTTGCCGAGTCCAGCTAGCTCAGGAGGCTCGAAAAGAACAAGAATTTCTCATGGACTCAGTACCAAGTCGATTGCTCAGCAGCGCCTGTCTTACTTTCCTGATGAAGCACGTACAGTTAGTTGTGGACGGTTGTAATGCCAGGCCTACAGTCAAATGCTATCAGAAAGGAAGAGTATTGTGGCAAGCCATACGTCTACATACCATCTCAAGGAGAAGATGAGAGCACAAGCAAAGGATATAGAGTGGCAAAATAACTTCTGACCACGTGTTTTCAGGATTTCCGCAAATGGGAGGGCTCTCCATCTGAGATCAGGTCTCAGGAGCTGGCCTCAAGTCTGGTGTTTCAGATGACATTATTCACAGAGTGGACGCAGTGACAGCTTGTCTGCAGGCAGGAATACTATTTGCCAAGATTAACTTCATCCCAACAATGAATGACTACCTGCAATAATGGTTTCATCTCTCACTACATGGATAATTAGGGGAAAGATTTGATACACCGACTATTCTGCCACAACCCTGCATCAAAGTTGGAATGGAGAGCAATCAATCATGGAGAAGCGATCATGTATTATAGTGCTAAGAAGTGGTGGAGCTCGCGACAGATAAGGTGGCAACTTCAGATGCAGATCGACGATATGCATAATTTCCTGGAAGTTTGACAATGTGCAGACTTTCTTCCATTTTTGTCCCTAACCAAGAGCATTATATCCCTTGCTGAAGCATTATAATCAGCATTATAAGGCAGTTTTTGGAGCATTATGGTTAGCATTATACGAACATTTTCGGAGCATTATCCGCTGGACCCTACTGACGGTACAGACACCACATTGTCCAAGTACACAAGAAGTACACATAGAGAGCTGCACACTTGATCATCCACTGGTCTGCCAAGAAATAGTGGTGTGTGTGTGCGTGTGTGTGCGTGTGTGTGTGTGTGTGTGTGTGTGTGTGTGTGTGTGTGTGTGCGTGTGTGTGTGTGTGAAGCCAAGGGTGAAGACAAAATATCTGCCACGTACAGTACGGTACAACCAGTTGAGTTAGCACCAGTGGCAGTGTCCAACCACGGTCCTGGTTGGCAGTAGGGCACCTATCACGAACGAACAGCTGTTCTTCACGGGATGACCATGTGGCGAGACGTTGGTGACGGGTGTAAAGATGCCGATAGCTTGGTGTGGGTGATGTTGTGTTGCATAGTGTTCTCCCTATGTATGAACAATAGTAGAAAAGCTGACAGGATCGCTTTTCTAAATGTGGTGATCATGCCCTCTTAGTGGTCAACAATGACAACTGCACAAAACTGCAGTTACCATGGCAACTACACATTGTCTGCTCCAGGACTTGGCCAGCAACCCGGCTGGGCGGGGCCGGAGTACTTAGATCCGTTTGAAAAGGACACCGGGTCACTTGTGATCCGGTTGTGAGTCTAGTATGCATGTCGAGTACCGGTATTTTTTTTGTACATTGAGGGGCACAGCTCAGCTTTTTGTTTTGTTACCAAGTACCGGTAGTGTTGCTGTTTTGCTGGGTGCTGCTGAGGCGTGGCGCGTTCTGGCGCTCAAGATGGAGCCGCAGGCAAAGAAGAGTCTCGCGTATTCGTTTCAACTTATTCAAGGTTGTCTGTGCCTAGCTAGTCTTCACGCGTACCTGTACCCGGCTCTGACCGGGTTGTAAGAGATGCGCCAGGTACACGTGTACCCGGTTGGCTTGAATTCCTAGAGCAGACACTGCTACGGAATTCTGTGTTCTTGCGTGACACAAGTATGCCGTTAATACTGGCCGAGGCACTAAGGGTGCGTTATTATATTCTCTAGCTTCACGGAGAAGAAGAAGAAAAGAGAAGTCGAAGAAAGTGAATCAAGAATAGATAACCCCCAGAGTGTGCAACGCCGATCCAGTTCTGCATAGGGTTTTGGTCGAGCGCGGAATCGGATCTTCTGATGTCATGCGTACACTCCACACCAGCGCAAGGCCGGTCTCGTTGCACACTCTGGGCCTGTACTGGGGGGGGTTATGTACTCTTGGTATAATATAATGCAAGAACGGCTCTCCAAGAATTCGGAGATATTTTGCACATGTGAAGCAATATGAAGCGCCAATGGGGCCGTGATCTTGAGTGCCACGAATGTAGTACATGTACGCACTGTGCGTATGCAAAAAGGGAAATGCGTACACTCATGACCCCAAACCGCGGGAATCTCCAAGTAATTTGTTTCAACCACCTCTGAAGCTTCAAGCTTTGGAGAGCCTCCAAAAATTAGGAGAGGATATAAGAACAGCTCTCGAACTTTTCCGAGAGGATTTAAGAACGCACCCTTAGCAGTTTCAGAGCCCTAAAATTTCACCCAATTTAAAAAAAGTCCACACATAAGCCCTGAACTGACATGGCGCCATATGGCGCTAATTTCAGACGGGCGGTAATGAAAGACCTGCGCTAATCTCCGAAAATACGGTACACGCACCATGCAGCAGCCGGGGAGTCGGGAGTGCCATTGTGTGCTGTGCCAAGGCAGAGTTTGACAAGCCGCCTGGGCCCATGTACTTCACCCTTGCCAGAAGACGGAAGCAAACTCATATACAACAGCCGAAAATTGGAATCCGGTTCTTGAATAATCTGGTCAACAGTCTCTTATGATGAGATCAATCAGGCAGTATATGATACAACACAACAGTGTGGGAAGAGGACTGTGATAAGGTCATTGGGCGATTGTCCCAACAAGCACGGCACAGCGCCAGCGAAGATAAGAAAGCTGGATTCAAAGTTACATGTGTTAGTTGTTGACACTGTCACTGCAATTGGATGTGTGGAAATGCTACGATACGGTACAAATACTATGTGCATGAACGGGCACAGTCAACAAGCCATCCGGGTCGCTATCAGCATAACCCACTTGTGAACAATGCCTCAGTTGAACTACAGCAGCGAGACACCTAGCAACCTGCAGCATGCGCACTAACCATAGAAATGATGGAGAACATGATATAAATAATTGTCAAGCACTTGATGTATGAGCCATGGCAACAATGCACAGCAGGTCTGAACGGATAGAAACAAGTGGAAAAATCAAAATTCCAGTCAGCTATAGTAGAGTGCAGCAGAGTTATTGGCCCTGAACCAGGACAATCAGGCCGGGCAATCAGGGCAGTCAGGGAACCGACTAGCCATGTCATCAATCCAACTATTACTGTGCATGGGAAAGTGGTGGCTACCGCATGCGGGAGTTGAGCGAATAGCTCCTGGCATGCTGCGCACCAAGCATTCAAGCCAGATATTCCAACAGCAATGTCAAGGTGCGGCCGCCAGCTAGGTACTGCACAGACACTGATTACTCTGATGTTGGAAGAGGAGCCAACTTACAATAACATATTCTGGCACTGAGTCATCCAGATCATCACACCATGCCAATGACATCATAGTGACATTATAGTGACATCATAACGCAACAACGGGGCAGCAATTCTCACGTGCGTCCGAGTCAGCTTTTGCCTGGCAAGCCGTCATGATGACGAATCCAGCATTGCTAGTTTCATAGCAGCAGCGATAACCAGCCAGCAATCAGCAGCAGGCCACCCAATGGCGCCAGTCGACCGAGCTCGCGATTTTCATTCAACGCTACAACGTAGCAACTGCACAATGGGAAAGAATAGATTGGTACACGGAGCAAGACAAGACTCAACATACCAGGTAGATGACAGAACATGTACTCAAAACCTCTCAGATAATACTACCATACCGAGAATAGAAAGCAAAGAAGGCCATGAGATAACTGTCCAAAATACAGGAGACAAACACATACAGTAAAACCTGTCATGGCGACCACTCGACCATGGCCACCACTCGACCATGGCCACCACTCGACCATGGCCACCACTCGACCATGGCCACCACTCGACCATGGCCACCACTCGACCATGGCCACCACTCGACCATGGCCACCACTCGACCATGGCCACCACTCGACCATGGCCACCACTCGACCATGGCCACCACTCGACCATGGCCACCACTCGACCATGGCCACCACTCGACCATGGCCACCACTCGGATACGGCGACCACTCGACCATGGCCACCACTTTTCCTTGTCACGGACGCATTCACATTCAAAACAGCTCGGATAAGGCGACCACTCGCTCAACGCGACCGACGACCACCCACCCGCGACCGCGTTGCACAGTGCTAGTACAGTCATGAAAATGTACGCATTGCATGGTGCACCATGCATGGTAGATCTACACATCAGTGCAGGAAGTGTAGATGTGCATGGTGCATGTACGGCACTTGACAGGTCTGAGGACCCAAGGCACAGGAGTCGTGCTAGAGTAGCATAGGTGTGTGCACTGTGATACTGATACACTGATCAAAATGATGTATCACATGTGGATATGGTCACGTGACCCACTGAACCTGGATAAGAAAACCACCTGGCCACGGCGACCACTTTTTCTCGTCCCTTCAGGGGTGGCCTTAGACAGGTTTCACTGTAACATCAATGAGTTTGACTAGATGAATCAACTTCAAAGCACGGCTTACTACAGTGGCATAGAACTTCAACGTCAAACAAGTACATGGTCAGCAAAAGAAAACCTAGGTCATACAGCTGTCCTGTCCTGTCCCCCCCCCCCCCCGCGATCTTACTGATTACACTTGGTGAGAAACATAGAATTGAATCAGTGTGACCTCACCTGCCACTGAATAAAACGATGCCGCTGCCCATCAGAGACGCAAACTGGCGAGAACAAAGCAGTGAGCACACACACACACGCATGCGCAAATGCAGCTTCTTGAAACTATTGTCTGCGCCAGTGACACTCACCCGGATCAATAGTAGGGCTGAAACGATTATACCGAATACTAGTAATCGAGTACTCGTTTGATAACTCTAAACGATCGAGCAATCGTTTAGATTACCGATTACGATTATTTTGCGTTTTTTAATTTTTTTTAATTTCTTATACGCGCAGTGCATGCAGCGCAGAGTAGTACACAGTACTACACACTGCACGCGCTGCGTCGCAGGACGTAGTACGTGCAGTGCATGCAGCGCGAGTTCAAACAACGCTGCCCATTACTAGTGGACAATCATGCCACATAGCATTTTTGTGCAAAATGTTGTAAATATTTCCACTTTTGGCTTAAAGATTATATAAATTGAATGCCGTAAAGTCGCGGATAAAAGCCGGGCTTATAAGCACATAAGCCGCTTTCTGCATCAGGCTTCAATGCAAACCAGGCTTGTATGCAAACCATGCTTATATGCACCACTGATATTTTTGCCAGGCTTGTATGCACATCGGCCGATCCGGGCTTGCATAGAAGCCAGGCTTCTACGCGCGACACGCGTAGATCTAGGTAGCACTGACTACCGGTACGCGGTATGGCGGCAGTTTTACTATGCACTGTACATAGCGCATGCACTCTTGACCTACCCGATCCGTGCTTGCATAGAAGCCAGGCTTCTACGTGCGACAGGCTTATATGCATTTGACCCGTTTGATTTTCAGGCTTCTATCCGCGATGTGCTTGTATGCAAACCCGGCTTTTATCCGCGACTTTACAGTAATCGATCGTTATGATAAAGAGTAATCGATTGGGCTAAATGGATGATCGTCTCAGCCCTCGTCAATAGTGAGTTTCTGCTACACGGAACTATGTACCAAACTCCGTGTCAACTGCAGTGAAGTTTGACACGGATTTTGCGTACGTTGCGCCGAATCTGCTGTGCGTAGCATGCTCGTAGCATGCTCGCACTTCTCGCCACATGTACTCTGTGTGCTCAGTTTACACACGGAGACCAGTCCGTGTGAAGCGTGCTTCACACGGAAAACGGTATGAAAAAATCCGTGTGAAACTTGATCCCGTGCCGCAACGAGGTGTCCATACATACTTTGGTACGCTTTACCGTGTGGCAGAAACTCACTATTACAACCGCCGAGATACCAACAGCGACATTTCCTCCCTGCTATGGCAATCCCTTCCAAGAGTAGCGAAATAAACTGATTCCAGAGTTCACAAAAACAAAACAAACCAGTATTTGAGGAAATTTGCCCCGATCAAATAAAACTTTGCAGCCATGTACAGTCGTCACCAAAAAAATCCGGCCAAATGCAATGCTAGCTACCGGTAGCTGTACTGGGCCGCATGCACTGCATAGAGCAGTCACTTGTAACTCAAGAACACAGAGGATTCGAGTTTCAGGATCAGGGAATCATTTAACTGGTATCGCATCGCAGTTTGCTACGCAATTCTTCTGAGGTGCGAAGCAACTTCAGAAATGTGTCGCAGAAAACTGCGATGCATATTGATTTTTCACTGTACCCTATGATGCACAGTGTACATGCCGGGTGTGCCTCGTAGGGATAAAATAGATGCACGAAACTTCGAAAGTGCTGAGCTATGCATCCTGGCACCAGGCTAGGTTTGCAACTAAGGTGTTACAGTGTACTTGTGGTCTGAGCTTGCACTCTGATCCAACAGCAATGTCAATAAGGACGGTTGTCAAGTGTTGTCAAGTGTTGAAGAAAATTGCTACGGAACATTTTTGAATTGCTATTCAAGTTGGATTTTGTGTAGCAAAATTGCTACGCAAAAGATTGAAAGTAAATTATTCCCTGAGGATACTACTAGTACTGCAAAGTGTGACCTTACCACCTTCGGTCTAGGCGTGAGTGGTGTTGCAAGCAAGGCTACCGTGTGCAACAGATGGTACTGAGTTGCTGTCGCAAACACCTGGAAACACCAACATGTCGATGAGAAACAGAGCGCATAACTATTAGGAAGCTACTTGATTTTTCAAACCTTACCGTGAGAACATTATAGAAACGGCTGCTTCCAAAACATCACACAACAGTTGCTCCAATAAATATGCTTCAACAGCCTTCATTTTCGAATATGACTGTTACGATGACACCATGATGACGTCATTGCATTGGTCTATTCTACTTCCTGTTGCCTTTGTCTTCTCTTTAATTAGTTGCAAAACACTCAAGTTAAGTTACTTTCACACCAAGAGGAATATTGACATATGCCCTGGTATAACAGCTATGTTTTCTAAAAAAAAAAGCAGAATGCACACTCCATCTGCTTACCTCCTTGTAACGCTGATTCTCCGGCTTGAATCCTTGAAGTGCAAGAGCAGACAAAACATGAAACACTTCATCCCATGATCCACATGCACCGGTTTTTAACCTATACACAAGCCCACTTCAATTGGACATACCGGTCGCGTGCAACAACTGGTCAAGATTGATAGAGGTTTACTCAGCAACAGTGCTTTTTTAAATTTCCCAATCACGTACAATGTGCTTAAGTGCTCCCAACGAGTGCCATTGACCATCCATGCAAACAGCACTGTTCCAAATTTGGCCGGCATTTTGATTTGAAACTGTGAGCTGATTTCGCCTGACTTGGGATACCGATGGCCCCGCTGCGGTAAACTGCTATAACAAAACTAAAACAATTACTTGGTTTCTGGGCATGCTTGCATGAGTGCTAAATTATAGGCGATTTAGTTATTCGAATTTCGAAAGGCCAAAACACCTGTAGTTAGCTGGGTGCAGGATTGAGCAATTAGTTTCCAGGCATAGAACTTTGGTAGCCAGTGAAGGACTAAGAGTTGAGTACGCACTGCACTGGGCCCCATGCCATCTCTGGGGTACATCATTTCGTACATGTACTGTATTCACAATGACATTGCTGAACACTACATCATGATTGTACTATATGATTGTAGAGCTGCATACCATGTGAGGAGTATGCAGCCAAGCCAACAGCTAGCGCTCCAGACAAGGCGATTGCTCTGTACAGGGGCCTATAGGGCTGAACCAATCGAGATACCAAAGGCAGTCGATTGAAGCCTGATGATCCACCGCTGCCACCCGACTTTGACTCCTCCATTGTCAGCAAAACCCTGTCGGTGTTGTCAATCAACCAGTCCTGAATTGTGCTTAGGCTGGGCAAATAAAAGAGGGGATCCCAGGAGCACTCAGGACAGTCACACGACCTGGCAGATCCGTAGAAAGAAGTCATAAGGAGATGAATATAATTGAGAATGAATTGAAAATAGATCTTCAATTGATGGTGTAATCAGAGTTCTATGTTTGCATTTTATCCTTCTTCTTTTGAAAAATCTGGTTTCCTCAATTATTTGGGCAGCACGGACAAACTAGAGAATTTCAGGACGATTTTCCAGATTTTACGATTATTTGAGCAGCAGGCCAACGAAAAAGTTGGGCCTAACATTTTAAAAATCTGGCGGGAACTTTTCTTCGCGATCGACATGCAATCTTCATCTGCTGTGGAACATTTATGGAATGATTGGGGCACTAGCACTACTATACCATTTTCAAGTTCCAGACTAGTCCCTGCCTCCTTCTTGTATCCACTTCTTAGTAGTTCAGCACTGCCATTAGATGTCCAAAATATCATAGTCCTGGAAATTCTCAATTGAGTATTCACAGACAAAGATGTCGCTGTCTACGAACTGCTTGGAGAAACTGGAAGAATTCGTCAATGACGAAAATAGAATTGTAAGAAATGGAGAAAATATGAACTTAGAACCAATTTCATGGAGAAAATATGTTGTTTTATTGTGTTAGTCTTGTGCATGTATTGAGATCCTCTCCCCATTCTACCAAAGTTGTATTCTTGCTTTGGTTAGATCCATGTCTTGATTTCAGACACGTACAAGAAGCAGGGGGAAATCCACATGTTCAGGAGTGTTGGTATAATTGTTGAACACTATTTTACTATTTTAGAAGGATAAAAAAAGTACAGTCGAACCTGACAATTACGGACACCCAAGGGACTGAGGCCAAAATGTCCTCAATTTACAGGTGTCCTCAATTCTCAGTTGCACCCATCACATGCAATACTGTCCCCGGGGAAAATTGCGGAAAAAAATCGCAAAAAACGCGGGGAAAAACGCGGCATAATATGGCATAATTTGTGGTGAATTTGCGGTAAATATTATTATTATTATTATTTGCCTCTCCGCGTTTGCATCAGGGTGTGTTACTACAAAAATCAACAAATCGACATAATACACATCCACCCCTAGCATTCGCTCAGGCCGCTCAACAAGTCAAAAGACAATAAGGACAAGAGAAAGCGAGGGAAGGGTCACAGAGCAGCGGGGTCGAAGGCAGGAAAAAAGAAACAGGAGGCAAAGGATATTGAAGAAATATATCAGATTGTCCATTGAATTCACCATACATCATGTCATGTTCCGTTTGGGCAAATCTGGGCATTCCTCTGCAGGCTCAGGTGCGGAAAAGCTGCCGCCATACTGCTCTGTCCTCTGCCAGGTCCCTGATGTGTGAGAGATCTTTATCCGTCTGCAGCTTCATTCCCTTTGTTGCGAGGTCCGTTCTCAGTATTGTCGGGAGTGTGGAAGGCGGCCGGCCACGGAATTTTTTCTCCTCCTTTGTTTGCCGGAAGTATGATGTCATAGCCATTTGTGCTGGGGACTCCTTGTCCAGTCTGCAGATGTGACCGAGTAGTCGCATCCGAGCAGCTTTAACCAGGACAGTTAGGGGCTGTGTCTCTGTTCTGCGGTGGAGGTCATCGTTGCTGATTATCTGTGGGTAGCGGATACCCACAACAACTCTCAGGTGTCTCCGATATGTCGAGTCAAGAGTACACAGCTGAGAGTCTGAGAGGCCCCATGTGCCTGCGTTGTACATCAGCAGAGGCTTGATGAAGGCTTCGTAGAGCCTCACCCGTAGCTTTTCGGAGACCAGATGTCCGCGTGACCACAATGGCCACATCTTGTTGAATGTGCCCGAAGCAATCTGGATTCGGCGTGCGACATCCTCTTTGTCTCCAATAAGGGATCCAAGCTTGCGTGTGCGCCTCCACTCTTCCTCCACTCGGTCCTTCTTCCTCTGGATAGTAGTGCGTTCTGTTTTGGCTTGGTTAACTTTCAGGTCCCAGTCCGCGAGGCAGTCGCCAACAATAGGAAGGATCGAGTCCAGGTACTCAGAACTGGTGCTGACGAAGTCCACATCATCGGCATAACCTAGGGACGGCGGCAGGTTGAGGGTGATGTCTAGATTAGGTCGAGGTGGAATACAGGAGAAAACATGGCACAGTGCAGTCTCGAGGTAGATGATGAATAACACGGGTGACAGCGAGTCACCTTGTGGGGTGCCAGATGTTGTTGCAAATGGTCGGCTTTGGGTATTTTTGATGCGTGCTGATAGTGTTGTATCTGAAACCAGGAGCTGGACCAGGCGCACCTCATCTGGCTCCAGGAATGACCGCAACACATTGACGAGTTTCCGGCGACTAATAGTGTCAAAGGCGCGAGACATATCGATACCCAGAATACTTATACTGGACTGCAGGTGCTGGCAGCGTGCAGCGATCCATCGATGAGCCCATACTACATCTGTAGTGCTTCTATTCGGTCTGAACCCACTCTGCATTTGCGATACATAAGCTTGAACTCGGGGGGTTATTCGTGCTAGAACCACTAAAGAAAGTACCTTGCGCAGGGCATTGAGCAGAACAATGGGTCTCAGACTACTTCCCGGGCCTCTTGGTTTTCCTGGCTTCTGCAGCGGGATTAACTCGCCACTGCCAAGTGTCAGGTGTTGTCCTGTCTCAACGCACATGGTGTACAGTTCGGCAAGATATGTGAAAAGGCTGTCAGGCGCATATTTGAATAGTTCTGCTGGGAGTTTGTCTGGCCCAGGTGACTTGTTGTTCTTTAGCCGTGCTGCTGCTCTCCTCACTTCGATCGTCGCGATTGGCTTTTCCATTTCGCCCATGTTATAGTCAGCCATGCTCAGTCTCTCTTGGTCGCTATTTGAGAGAGCAGCGTGGAAGTGCTCTGCTATCTTTTCAGCCATTTCCTCAGGTTGGACTATTAGCCGGCCATCTTGGTCAGCCACAACGGCCTGCTTGGTTCTGTTCTTGTGTAGCTGTTGTACAGCTCTGAACATTCGGGCATCATCCTTCAGCTGTTCGATCTCTGATACTTTTCTGTCTAGGTCTGCAGATGCACATTCCTTGGCTCTACGTCGCAGTTGGTGCGAGACTTGGTTTCTCTCCTCACGGAGTTTCTGTATCTGGTGGGTGTCCTGAGCGTTCATCGTGCGGAGTCGCAGATTTTTCATCTTTTCCGAGAGTTCTTCCATCACCGTATCCCAACCGTGTCTATAACGCCGTGTCAGCTTCAGTTCTCCCGCAGCTGCCAATCCCGAGGCATGCATCATTCCTGCAACTGAAGTCCAGCCTTCATCAAGGTGTTCCTTCTCCAGGGGAGGTAGTGTTGTAACATGCTTTTCAACTTGGTCCCGATAGCGCTGTCTTCTCTCTGCGCTGGCTGTCAACTGCTGCACATCCATTTTCTTCCGACTGTCTTGCGGGGTATGCTTTCTCGGTGACGTTAGGACGTAGAATTTTGGTAGGTCAAAGGTTGCAATCACCAAGCGGTGATCGCTACAGGTAGACGTTCCAGCATATGACCGTGCATTCAGAAGAAGGCTCTTCTGGGAATTTTGGCACAGTACGAAATCGATTTGATTATACACCTTGACCGTGATTCCTGATGCTAATCTCCGAGTCATTGACCATGTTGTGGTATGACATGCTCTGTGCTGAAAAGCTGTGTTGGCAGCAAATAGTTGATGGGACCCACAGAATTCTGCCAAAGCAAGACCAGTGTAGTTTCGTCGTCCGCGTCCATGCTGGCCAATGCAGTTGAATGCTGTACTAGGTCTGCCCAGTTTAGCGTTAAAATCCCCAGCTACAAACAGTAGACTGGATGACGATTCAATATCTGTGAGCGCCCTCTCAAGACTGTCGTAAAACTCCTCCAAATAGTCATGCGACGTCGCAACAAGTCCCGACGTCGGCGCGTAGACGTTCACTACGGAAATGACGCTTTTAGCTACTTTGAATTGCGCTACTGCGACTCGGTCGGAAACCACCCAGTGACGAACAAATTTGTCCGACAGACGCCGTGACACAACGAAACCGAGCCCGTAGTGACGGCTCGTTGAAGGAAGCAGCAGCAAGCGGTAGCCGTCCTGACAATAGTCGACCCCCTCCGGCGCTTTCGTCTCCTGCAAGCAGCAAACGTCCAGCTTGTAGTTTTTCGCGTCCTCGATAATTTGGTGTTGTTTACTCCGAGAACTTAGTCCACGCACATTGAAGCAGGCCAAGTTGAATTTATTCAGGCCTTTGAAACCTCTATTCCCACTCATTGTCCGTTACCGACTCTGTCCGTTACCGACTCTGTCCGTTACCGACTCTGTCCGTTACCGACTCTGTCCGTTACCGACTCTGTCCGTTGAACGTTTAGACCAATATCATCCCCAGCAAGAAGCAGGAGATGGAGAGAAGAGTCACCCGTCTCTCAAACCAAAAATATGCGGTGAATAATATAGATGTGCGGCAATTTTCAGTGAGTATGTAGTGAAATCAATCAGTTACAAGTCTCTGGTGTAAGCACTCGTCATATTTGAGTAAAAAGCCGCCACGATGAGACGTTGCTGACCGAACAGTGCACTGTGTGTACGTGTAGTGCAACAAAAAAGTTCAAAAAACGCGGGAAAATCGCGGAAAACGCGGTCTTTTAAAAATCGCAAAAAACGCGGCCGCGGAATCGCAATTTTCCCCGGGGACAGGCAATATGTACATGTAAGTCATTTTGTTCTTTGCAATGAATGCAACCACCATTATGCACTTCTCCGGTGTGTTTTATGTACAATCATGTACATGTAAATGAGCATTATTCCATTCAGGTTGCCACATAGTGTCATGTACATGTACATGATTGTAGTAATGTAGGACATGACACATGTGCTCTGATGCGAGCCGTCATGCACATTGGGCTAACAGATCGCATTGGGCATCAGATGCCGTCCTGAAACCCGTACACAAGTGGCGCCGTGCAGCAGCGTCCATTCCTGGAGGGCCAGCTGCACCTTGTGTGTCGAGCGCAGCTTGTCGGATGCTTTCTCTGTTGATGGCCGTGAAATATGTTGAGTGCGGTGGTGGTGGGGGTGCGTCCATTATGACCGCATCTTCTTGCACATGCCCTGCTTGTGGGTTTTTGTCTTCCAGAATTTGACGAACAGTCTTGCCATCAATGTCTGCGCTCAGTGTATGCACTCCTTTGGTATTATCATCACCCAGAGTTCGAAGGTTGCTTCCGATTTTTCCATCGTGAACGAGATTGGCGAATCGCCGAGCGTCGTCGTGAGATCTCCGTCCACGCGTCGAGCAACCAGAGTGACGCTGCTTTTGCTTGAGTTGCCCCTAGATGGTGCGTGCTTCAAGCATGAGGTTGTTTACGTCGCCGTGTTCCCAAAGCTCAAGCCTGCGATTCAAGTGCTGACGATGTTCCCTCTGGTCACGGCAACCCACTGGCTGTTGCGGGAGTAGCTAGGTCGCGACCATTGCAGTCTTGATAGCAAGGCCATCGCCTGCCCCCGCCCTCACCGAACCTTCGGTAGAGCTGCGCCTGGGTTAGGTCGTGGTTTACAAAGATGGGGCCACTCACTGTGCGAAGGTTGAGTCTTGACGTATAAACTCGGTTTTTGCTGGTTTGTTCACGAAAGCGAACACGGAAGACTCGTCCTGTGGGGGTGTTTGAGCCATTAGGACTAGGTGGTCGCTCTGCTAGCAGGTTCACGAACTGGGAGCCCGCGCCTCCCTGTAGCACTTGGTAAAGATCAGGCTGGAAGTGCACAGCTTCCTTGTATGCTGCAGAAACAACCTGGCCACTAGAGTATGGTGTCACGGTTGTCCGGGCTCAATCCTAAGTCACTTTGGCCCTGCATGGGTAAGACATCAGCTGCAGGAGGCTCAAGCTGACTCTGATCGAGATTAACAAGCAGTTGAGTAGCTGCACCCAATGGCCCGCTAAGACTATGAGTGCTTGTAAGCGACGGTGATGTGTCCTGTGCTCTGGATGTGCGTGCATCTGTGGATAGAGTTTGGACGTCAAATCGCTGGTCCAGTGTGTCCCATGCTACTTGCTGCGACTCCGACACATTGTCGTTAGTGGTAGCTGGTGACTTTGCCGTGCCAGTCGTACTGGGTCCCACGCACTTCTCCACAACAGGCGAAGAATTGGTTGTGGGTCCGTTACTGCATCCATCATCCATCAATGGTGCGGTGCTCTGGGGGATACAATTCTCAACGGTTGTTGACTTTGTCGTATCCACTTCACGTGTTGTCGAATCGACCGTACGGTTGGAACATTTGCCTTTCCTTCCTGGGGTGCAGTTTATGCACGGAAGTTTGTCTCGGCGGCAAGAGCAGCTAGTTTTGCAGACTCCATTACCGGAGCAAATACAGCATCGGCGTCCAACTTGGGCGTGGCCGGGGTCTTTATTACTACTGGCCATGGCCAACAAGGCGGCACATGCTTGCTAAAACTGCACACTTGAAGAAGAGCACAGGGCACAAAGGTCAGAGCAAAAAAAGTTCAACTGCAATTCGAAATTCCCTCTATCTCACATGGTAGAGTTGTTTTACAAGTATGTGCGCAATATTCCAGGCCAGTGACCAAGAACGTCATTTCCATGGGGTCAGGCTGCGGTGTTCTTATATCATGTGCTATATTCTAAAAGCACGCTTGTAGATGCACGTCTTGCTCGATCGTGTGCAGTACGATGTGACGAACTTTACACTCGCATACAGGATAATCTATGCGCGCTAATACCTCGTTTATCCGGGCGGTCCGGGACCGGGCACTGCCGGTAACTTCGAAATGTCCCTAACTCCGAATATCAGACATTTTAATGGGGGAAGGCCGTAGATATGGCATGTTACGTCACTATTTCCACAAAAAGTGACAAAAGAGTGGTAATATTTCTACTGAAACTCACCCAAAGGCTGCCCGTAACTTCGGGGTCCGGATAACCGAGGTATGAGTGTACATACTACGTTACATGTATAGATCATCATAGAGTAAAGTTGTGCCATCTAAGAAAAGCAGGATGTACCAGTTCATAGACTACTCGTTGTGGTGTGGGTACCTGCACTACAACAGCCGATAGTATATGAGGAGAATGGCAGAAACCATATGACCCTGTTCTTAAATCGTACCGAGTTTTACTGTAGTGCAACACGTCCTTTTAAAGCCTCACCTGTCTCTGAAGCTAGGCTCAAGGTTGTGTTTGGACCTTGGGTCCGCTAACGGGCTAGATCTCAGCTTGAGACACAGTATCCAGGGTATTTCTTATCCAAGCACGCTATACTATAGCAGAAAATAAATCTGTGCCTCGCAACATGTACTAATACGAAGGAAGTGTGTCATACCGTGGTACACTACTGTCGGGCGCCAAAGAACTGGGGGGGGGGGGGGGGGGAGGGGTTCGAGCCTAGCCCGTTCTTATTTTTAGCGAACACAGCAGTTTTGTTCTTATTCGATGTGCAGTCTTACAGTACATTTATGCAGAGTTATACGTCTGAGTGTACATTATAGTGTATATTACGGTTTCCGTTCTTATCTGAAAAAATCCAGCCTACACAGTTCTTAAAAATTGGTGAAATTCTAGCCTGGCCGTTCTTCAGCACTACCCGACAGTACTGTACGTGCACCGCGAGTTCTAATATGATATTACAAAAACAAGGAGACCGGTTTTGGGAATGACTTACTACCTTGCTGTTGGTGAATTCGTGATGAAGGTCTGGGGTTTTATTGCCCTTTTCTGTTTGAAGTGGCCGCTCACGCATAGAGTTTGTTGCCCAGACATGGTGGAACCATCTTTCCATTCTGTGTATTGTCTCCGGCATCAGGTAACATACAAGTGGTTCAGTCAAAGAACGGGTATCAGCGTCAACTCTGCTAAACAGTGAGTGTATACACCTTGTATGTCATGAGCTGTATAAACCTTGTATGTCATGAGCTGTATACACCTTGTATGTCATGAGCTGTATACACCTTGTATGTCATGAGCTGTATACACCTTGTATGTCATGAGCTGTATACACCTTGTATGTCATGAGCTGTATACACCTTGTATGTCATGAGCTGTATACACCTTGTATGTCATGAGCTGTATACACCTTGTATGTCATGAGCTGTATACACCTTGTATGTCATGAGTTGTTATCGGTGTACAGTAACTCCGCCCTTGGTGCAGCGGAAACTGTCTTGATACGACAGGATTCCGCTTGATCCGGGGATGAACGTTCGATCCACAGCACTTTGGTGCATGACAATTTGTCCGGTCAATACAGGATTCTGCTTGGTACAGGGTCCGGCCAATACAGGCTTTACTGTACAGTCTGTATCGGCTATAGAGTGACCGGATATAAGAATATATCGGCTACAGTGATATTGGTACGAAATATCAAAAGCAAAACGTATTTTGTCCAGTACAAATATCACTATAACCAATATTATCGGATGTAATGATATATCGGATATTATGATGGCAACAAAGAATCAAAACATGCATAACACACTATATTATTATCGGCTATAGTGATAACTTTAGAATACATGTAGCAATAGTATCAAAGGCCCTATTTTTTACTTTCTTCACGTTGCTTATTTTTATAGTGATACATGTACATGTAGATAACAGAATTTTTTTATGGAAATGCGGGCACTGTCAACTATGCAGCATGCTCATTTGTCAAAACGCCACGCTAGCTGGAAGTATTTCCTTGCCTTTCATGTGTCGATCGAAAAAGAAAAAAATCGATCGTATCGCATATAGTGATGCATCGGTTATAGTGATAAAATCATGGAAATCAAAAGGGTACGCTATAGCCGATACAGACTGTATGTCATTTGTTCAGACACCATGTATCATTTGATAGTATTGATGTGTGTTTTTTTCGTGGTGTCTCGATTTTTACATGTTCATACTTCAGTAGACTTTATCTTGCTCGTAAAAGAGGCCGTTACCCCGCAAACAATTGATGGTATTGAATAGTTGATACACAGTGTGCATATATTGTAAAGCCTTGGAATGTGTGATTATGTGCACATCTGGTCTCTTCTTGCGTTTATTTTGTTGTTTTGTGCAGGGCACTTTCCCTTTTCGTAGAGCACTGCCGCAATGGCAAGGTATCCTTTACTGTCAACACGTCACATCTTGTCATTGGTGCGGAGACAAAATCCAATGGCCGAAAGGTGAGAGCAATGCACACTGAAATAAAATCGACCTGTTGTATATTGGACTGCTGGTGACATAACACAAATATGCATTTTCATTTCGCAGCATTCTACTGACCGTAATGCCGGAACCTTCAATGTTTGCTAGTGCTAAATACAGGCTGCCAGTTTTGATAAGCAGAGACTGTGGTCTTTGATGAAGAAAGCTTGCCGACACTGCACCTTGAGTAGCCCATTCACGTACGCTCTCCGAGCCGTGTCCTGGAAACCGGTGAGCACGGCATATGGTCAATCACAACATTCACCGAATCTTGCTCTCACCCACTGCCAGAACACACCATTATGCCAGGGTTCATAAGCAGAGAAGCCGCAGAAGAGCAGCACTGTAGTTTACGCGTATCTCGCTTACACAGGCAATATGACTGAGCAAGTGCCAGCAGCCTGTCAGTCAGAAAGTCCAGAGCTGGAAATATTCACTCATCAGCATTGAGCATGTATTGCCGTATTGTATTGTTTAGTTACGGATTCTCCAGAGGTAAATGGATACCTATCATGGGAGTCTCTCCAAACCAATAGATTAATGAAAAATAGAAAGAAAGAAAAAAGAAGTGGATGTTTAACGCAGCAAGTGAAGATGTTTGTCTCTTGTGTTTCGGGGTATTGCCACGGAAGACGTTTTTCCACAGTGGCTCGCCCCTCCGCTCGGCATCTCTGAGCATGTGTTGTGTTTTCTGCCTACCTGTCTTTCTGTGCCTCGCTTCATTTAGGTGACCCATGTGTGTGTGGTGGATGAGGACCAAGTGGAAGGTATTTAAAAAAAGAGAGTTCCATATTGGTGTGTTTCATGCGGACGCCTGGTTCAGGTGGTGCTTGATGTGATTATTAAGACACTACCTATGGTTTGTTTAGTGTCGTCCAACTGAATCTCTTCAGCACGGTAGGGACCTGTACCGGGCTTGTGGTCCAATTTTTACTTCCAAGTATGCAATTTCACTGGTTTCAAAAACTGTGTTGACATGCACCTTGCTACGTGTAGTGATCCTTATTTTGACAAGGCAATACCCTTGTGACGTCATTTTTATTGTCTAGGGGAATGATCTCCTAAGACCAGTGTCACACTCTCGCAGAATTTGAAGAGAAAATATGTACTACATTAGTGTTCGGAGTTAATGTCTAAACACTGCCACGAATCTAGATACTAGTAGTAGATACTGCCTCTCACACGTTAGAGCCTAAATTCCGCACTAACTTTATCAGCACACATACTCGTACATACCAACTATGAATATGAATACAGTGTGCATTGATCACAAGCCACTCATCCCACCCAGGTACATGCACATGCATATGCACTGGTTTCGCACTGCACCTTACCTCACACCCCATGCAACATACCACACTTCCACAGTAACTCTACATCATGTTTATCTCTGTAACTTTGTGCCCACCGCTGCAACATTGCGCTGACTGTTCATGCACCATTTTCCCACCAAGGGCTATTACTTTCTTTCTTTGTAGGATATAGGCCACTGTTTACTCCGCTGACCCTAGTCTCCTGGTGATTGCGTTTTGCAGCATGAACCTCTGAGTGGCGACCTGCTGATCTTATTCCACTGTGCCCTATGTTTGGGTAGGCTCTGAAGCATTGAGCTCCCTGACCCGTTGTCATGGTCACCCTACTAAATAATCATTGTGTTCATTGTCTGTGTGCAGCTGTCAAGTCAAGCCTAAAGGCGCCGTGCACATCACATATCTACAGTGTGCAGAAAGCCAAAATCAAGGTAAAAACGTGGACATGTTCGATTGGTTGGATCTGGATCCAGATCAATCGGATCCACTCACTATGTGCACGTTCGTTTCAACGAATCCGGATCCAGTCCCAACGGATTTGGATCCGATCAAAACTTTTCCGGTAGCAGGGTTGACCGGATCCACCGGATTCTTTTTTTTTTTTTTACGAAAAAACTACTCTGTACGTGATGCGTGTACAAATGGCGGGAATAAAAGTGATGCGAAATCGTTTCCTCTCACGGAAACCCTTGAAAGTCACTAAAATTCCAGATCCGATCAAGGGCAGCGTTTGATCGGACCTTGGTGGACCCAAAGCATCCACTCAATTAATCTGGATCCTGGCGGATTAACCATTGCGTTCATGTACGCGTGGGTAATCTTTGACATAATATCAACAGTCTCTATCTTGCTAATTCTCCGCTGTGCTTGTTGCTGTAATGCAGGATTCCAGTGCACTGTATACTGCAGATGTTGAGCAACGCAACGAGAAATGGCGGTCCAGCAATAAGTGAGTGTGTGTGCGTGTGCGTGCACGTGTGTGTGTGTGTGCACGCCTGTGCGTGCGCCTGTGTGTCATATCCTAACATAAAGGCTCATACTTCAAGTCCTGTAATCTTGTTTCCTGGAGTCATTTGCTCCGACGGTTTGGCAGACTGCAGCCGAGCATCAGGGGTCGAACTGGAGTGATGATGTCTTAAAAAGTCATTAGTCTATTCAGCTCATTGGTGTTGACGCCGGGGCATAGCGTCTTGAGAGACAGTAGAACATTTTAGACGGCACTCTTTCTTGTCTTCTAAATTTCTAATGCGTCCAATCTGCCATGGATACCTGATCTATTTCTCTTACCTACTGACAGCAGAAGTGATCCGCCATTCACGCTTCGAAGCATTGACGGGGAGTAGTCACACAACAAGAAGAAGGAGACTAAGATTGTGTTGTAACTTTGAGTTTCACGCACCATATCATCATCGGACAACAGTACTGAGGCAAATCTGGATGCTGTTTTATATACGCACACAAAGTAAAGGTGTGAATGACAGCTTTCGCAGTATTCACAGTTGTCATACGTAAACACTTTGTGTCCTATGTGTTCTGTGTCAATCCAACCGATTCTAGATACAGCGCCATCTGTTGCCCATTGGCCGTGCCTGGTGCTGCTGCACCAGCCGGCACAACACCGGCAGCAAAGACATCGGCAGCAAAGACACCGGCTAAGCAATCTGCACCCGAGATCAAGGCCGAGGTCAAGACTACGGCCGCGTCCACATCAGCTGTGGGTACTGCAGACAACAGTCAGTCATCCAGTAAACATGGTATGTGCACGGCATATGGATACTACAGTCCATTCAGAAAAAGATGGACTTCTAGCTTTTGGCCATAAATAGGTCAAACTTTGAATTTTTTTGGAATTTTTTCCGCAATCCCCTATGGAATCCTCTTCCAATTATGTTTCTGAAGTTTTTTTGTCCAAAGAGCAAGCCATAACAAGAATAGGATTTCGGCCAGGTTTTGCCCCAAAAGCACTGAATTGGGAAAAACCATAAAAATCCAGGTCGTTTGACCCCACCTGCAACAGTGCATTGTGCGGTTCGAACCCCAGTTCAGGTACCCTTTTTGGACCCTTTTTCAAATTTCAAATTTCGCAGCACTGCACTGTGTACGATGAAATCACGAAAAATCGCCAAATACGGGAGCTCGCCAGAGCCAGGGCCCATCTTTTTATGAATGGACTGTAGTAGTCAATGTGCTGGTGTGTGGGGGGGGGGGGGGGGGTGTGGAGGGCCTAGGGGGCATATGGAAGGGCGTTATCATCCTAAAATTGTTAGTACTTGTACATGAATTGTACATTAACTTTTTGAATTTCGTCGTAGCCTGTGTACTACAGCGTCTGAGTTCTCCTGCTTGCTTAAAGACCTTGCTTGTCATGTGCTATCCTCTAACAATCTGAGCTTTGGAGCCAGGTTGCACCTAGAACGCGCTGACAAGTATTTCACTCCAAAGTCCAAAGTACTCTTGCTTTGATCTTGTTGTGTTCCACTACAGAAGCACCTGCTGCGCAAGCCAGTGCGGGAGGAAAGGTGAGACGCGATTGGAAACCCTTTTTCCCCTTGAACACCAAGCCTAATACCCTGTGCATTCAAGGGCTTGTGCTGCCTAGTCTCCAGGTTGATAGCTTACTTGCTCATCTAGTCCTCCGGTGTACCACATCATTAAGCACAGCTATCTATTCGAAATTTGATTTCTTGTTTCAGCTACAAAACGGTTTTATACCCTGACAAAGAATAGAGAGGCTAGTAGTTCGCTTCAATCCACTGACTGTCAACTGAAATCGAAGTGAAGCTCAGTCCAGCGAGCGTATTTGCAATTTGAAAGTATGGTGAGTGTGGTGTTTGCCTGCCTGTGGCAAACTGCTCCTCTGTGATCTCCACTTCATGAACTAGTTTACACACTTATCACCAGAGGTTATTGTATGCGCAGTTTCCAGCTGCCCATTCCACAAGTTGCCTGAAACAATAATACCTGCATGCGTTTCTCTATTTCCTTTCAGGCTGGTGCGGGCGCAGGCAAAGGAAAGCCTGCGCGAGGAAAGCAGCCGTCAGCCGCCAGTTTCTTTGGTGCAGCGAATACCAAGAAGAGCACGCCAAAGGCTCCAACAGAGGAGGCGAAAAATGTAAGTGTCTTTCCCAGTGGGCTATTGGTCTTGCGTGTGCTGCTTGATATCAGTATTTGTTCAGACGTCTTGGTGCTTTACGGTTTCTTTAGATCCTTGTTTGAGCCCGTCGGCTCTCACTGCTATTATGTAACATTGGATATGGACTGGCATGTGAGTGTGGAGTTTGTAGCATTTCATGTTATGGTGGGCTTGAGACATGATAATGTGTGTCGCGTCTGCTACTCTGTGTGCGTACACACGGTGTGTTTGTGCATGTACGTGTGTGTGTGTGTCGCATGTGTCGTATCACATGTAGGACAGAGAGCCCCGTGCCTAAATTGTGTAAATCTGTGGGTGATGTTCAGTGTTCACTGTCGCCCATCTTCTGCTGCAATGAGCTCTTTTATTAGCTGTATGCAGTGCGCTAATTGAGCCCTTTATTTACTCACACAATGACTGTATTCGTGGTGTTTTTCTACGATAGGTGTCGAATGATGACGCAGCTGCTGTGAAATCTGAAAAGAAAACGAGCGCAGGGGAGGATGCAGAGAAGGTGAAAACCGAGACGAAAAGCACAAAGACGGCGGCCGAGAAGAAGACTTCCTTCTTCGGTGAACGACTTCCAAGTATGTAGTTTGTTGAGTCAATGTGTTGCCAAATTTCTGCTGTGCAGCAGATTTTGATCAAAATCCTGTTGACCTGATGAATTCAGTTTCACCTGAGTGTGTTCGTATGGAGTGAATACCGTAAAGTCGTGTATAAAAGCCGTGGCTTTACTGCTTTTTGGAGAAATTTTGCAGCCTTTATACAAGACAGGTATTTCTATGTATGTCAACACTAAAACCAGGCTTATGTGCCGACAGTGTATCTTGAAAATGAGGCTTCTATAATGAGACCGGCTTTAATACACGACACTACTTGTGCAAGGCCTATACTGTAATACAGAGGAGCTGTTTCCATTTTATCTTTCGTCTTTTTTGTCGGCTCTTCTGCCTGGATTTCGTTGACAGATGCGTTAAGCCCATGGATCCTTCCATGAGTGACATGCGAACTGTAACTATTATTATTATTATTATTATTTCGTCTTTCCCTTGTGCAGAGAAAAAACCTACAGAGGAGAAAGAGAGTGTGTTGGAAGAAAGCTCTGAAGCAAAGACCGCTGCATGTGACAGTGCAGAGACCACTGCGCCACCCAGTGCAGACAAAGGCAAGCAGGAACAGAAAGCACCAGTGGTGAAGAGAGGCTTGGCAAGGGCTAAGGTACATTGCTAGATTGCTAAGTATGGCACGGACAACGGAAGGCGTCATTCCCTCTTTCATTTGTGTGCTACTAGTACAGTGATGACAAATAAAATGTGACCCCTGTATTTTTACGTACGAGTTTTGCGGAGCTAGTACGAATCGTAGCGAGTAGTGTGCATGCCATTGCATGCCAGCAATGCGTGAAGATCAGCTTTGGCATCCCCATTTCTGGTCTTGCTGCCTATACTGTACCAGCGTACTACTGCATGCATGTGTACTGTTGCACTGTAAGCTTTCCCATTGCTCCTGGTGTCGGCGTAAGATACGGACAGGATTCATACAGCACAGCAGGTGTATGTGTGTGCAAGCAGTGCACCTCTCCTGGGGTCAGATTTCACTTGCTCCCCACTGTAGCTTTTAAAGGCAATAGGCATGATCGTATCCGTCTGCCCGCATGTTGTTGTTGTTGTTGTTGTTGTTGTTGTTGTTGTTGCTTTCGAATTCTTTTTTCTCACAATGGCACCATCGCCAATAAGACATAATGCTGCTGTTGTTGCTGCAGTTGTTGCTGCTGTTGTTGCTGTTGCTGTTGTTTCTTCCTTTCACACCATATGAAACGGTTCGATACGTTATGCCGGCAAACAGTGCAAAGTGACCGACCAGCAGAGAGCTGTACCCACAGCAGGGCTACATAGAACACTGTAGCTATCATGTTTAGGCGTGTGTACAGGTTTGTCAGGAGATGTGAATATTCTGGATGTGCAGACCACATAGGCTGGAGTTGCACGTGCTTGAGAGGGGGGGGGGGGGGGGGGGGGGTATGTACTCTTTGAAAAGTCTTGATGCAACCAATTATTGTTTCATGGCTTGTTTGGTTCTGCGCTTTTAGACTGCTCGTGCCAAGAAATCCCAAAGTGAAGATGTGGCCGTGTACTCGGATGAGGCAGAGGCAGAGGCAGAGGCAGAGGCACCAGCTGCCACCACCTTCAGCAGTGACTTGTTTGATGCCGAGTGTGATTCAGGTAAGCAAGGTCCCATGCTGAATGCTTGAAGTGTAACTCACTCATGGTGACAGTAACCCGGTGCTTTGGTTCACTGTCGTACAGCTGTACCGGTGCTCTTTTACGACATCGGAAACAGAAAAGTGGCAGTGTATCGCTGATAGTCAGTAAACGCAGCCTTTTAGTTTCATATGTGTTGCCTAGCATTTACACACGAGTTGCCTGTCATCGTCAGCAATGCCAGAGATCGCTTTCTGAATGTGTGTGTCTGTACAATACGTAGTTGCCTCTTATGCGGCTTCATGTGCGCTGTGCTGTGCTTGGCAGATGATGACAACACACCGCCAGTCACCAGGTCGTCGCCTAGGAAAAAGCAACCTGCTGCAAAGGTACATATGGCCACCTCTCTCTCTCTCTCTCTCTCTCTCTCTCTCTCTCTCTCTCTCTCTCTCTCTCTCTCTCTCTCTCTCTCTCTCTCTCTCTCTCTCTCTCTCTCTCTCTCTCTCTCTCTCTCTCTTTCTTTCTTTGTCTATATCTGAATGCGCACAGCAGAAGAAGTCTGCCACCCATGTTGTACTCAGTGTGCATTGCTGCGGTGTGCTCGCTATGAAAGTGTCATAGTAATGTTCGGCGTGCTATGTATCACTGCATGTGAATTATGCTTACCATCTCCCTACGGTAAGTCTACAAATTGTCAGCGCATTTAAATTTCGGCCTGCATAACATTTCAGCCTGTACTGCTGCTGCCTGTATACCCTGTCACATAGAACCTTGCAGAACAAAATTTCGGCCGCAACAAATTTTAGGCCAAAAATACCAAGGCTGAAATAGCCGAAAATAAATACAATATGCTCCGAATATTTGTTGAGTTGCTGTATTTACTCTGTGACGGCAATGAATTTGGAAGTGTGAGCACCGATGAAGGCACCTGCACTTGCACTGGCTGCCTGCATGCAATGCCCGTAACCCCCATGTTTTGGGCGCGTACCACATTGCCTGGTTATATACTATTTCTTTGGAGCAAATATTACATGTTTGTGTGTGTGTGTGTGTGTGTGTGTGTGTGTGTGTGTCCCAGCACAAGCTGCTATGGCTTCTGCAGTAGCATCGCTATCATCGCCTCCGGTGATGGGCGTCAAATGGTGTGTGTGTGTGTGTGTGTGTGTGTGTGTGTGTGTGTGTGTGTGTGTGTGTGTGTGTGTGTGTGTGTGTGTGTGTGTGTGTGTGTAGGTGTGTGTCCCATATGGTGCAGTGGTATGTGCAGCGTTTTCCAATCGATAGGTTGCGGGTTCGATTCCCGACGATTGTGGTCACACACGTCTTTCTTCTCTTTCTCATTCTCCTA